TCAAATGCACTTTCAAGTGGATCATACAGCTGGCAGGCATGGAAACCAAATAATACAGCCTTGAGCTGCAGCCAGATACCTGAAAACTTGGGATGCAAATAAATGGCAGCAACTATCCATAATCCTTTTGCCAAACAGCCATCGGTCTGTTGACTCCAAGCATGTGTTGTGTTACTATGACCTACATATCCCATTATGTTAGGGGACAAGAAAGCAGAAAGAAGTGCTACTAATCTCCACCCTGAGGATGAGATTTATATGTAACCACACTGCTTCCAACTCACCCTAATCCCCAAGGGTCTCATTTACTTCACAGAATTTGTCCTCTCTGAGTGGAATACACTATTTCAGTGCCCAGAGGTTGAACCATGTAACAGCTGCCTCACTGCTGAACTCAATAGTTAAAAGCACAGGTTTTTATAGCACCAAGTATAAATGAAACTATATACTAGAAAAGTATTGAATAAATAAGTTAAATAGATGGGCTGTGCAATGTTACTATAAATTCCCCAACCAGCAAACTTTACTAATACCAAACTCTTCTAACATTTCCTGCAACTCAAAAGTATGATTAATCTCTAAGAATTGATTCAGGCATTATACCTAGGACAAAGTAAATTTGTCATCCCATCCCCTAACACTATAATCATAAACACAGAATGAATTACATCACCCAAAATTCACACTAGTGATGTTCATGTATGAGTACAAATTCTTCATGCAATGACCCAGTTCACCCCCAGATGACATAGTTGATATAAAAGATAAAAAGATTGGGGGGGGGGGTTGCATTAGAATGGGGATTCCTTATAGAGACTTCAGCCACAAAGTTTACTTTAACATCCAACTGGATACATTTTTGAGTTGTTTAGAAGACAATTATTTTAATTATTTCTTTAGAAGAAACGAGGATGAAGAAAATAAAATAAAAAAGAAATAGAATATAAACTTGAATACTGTTTCTCTTCAGTCTCCATAACTTTATATTCATATTGCAATATACCTATCCCTTAATTTCTCATATTTTGCAAGGTGCTCCTATTTCTTTCTCCTCTCTGATTTTCTTTTCCATTTCCCCTTCTTTTTTCTCCCTATATTTTTCTGTACTCATGTTCCATTCCATCTTTCTTCTTCTTTGACATTTATGCCATCTGTCCTGAAGTTCTTCTCCCTCTTTTCCCAACCCTGATAATACCCTGGTATTCTTCCTCAATGAGACAGTCACATTCATAATCAAAAAGGAAAAAAATGCATTGAGGAGAAAAGAGGACACAAAAGATTTACTTCAATGTTGCATTTGCTCATTGTTAAGTACAGATGCAAAGGTAGATACAATTACTACAACTCAACTAAAAATTCAAGGTATCTTATCAAAGGGACAAACTCCGTGATCAGTTAACCTGCATGGCTGTTTCAAGTGCTGTCCAGGTCCTCATAAAGTGCAATTCTAAAGCCCTGCAGCTCTCCCTTGTTTTGGTTCTTGATCCTTAAACTGGAGCCAGACACTTTGAAATACTCTCTTTTAACAAGCTTCCAGATACAGAATGATCCTTTATAAAGAAGGCCACAAGGCCATCCTGCATGTCCATGAGCAGTGATGTGTTCAGGAGTGCTCTTTTTTTAACATAACAAATAATAGTTTTCAAGATCTGAAACAAAGTATGGAAAACTAGAGGCTAAAAATAATTCCGCTACCAATTAAGTTGTCCTGAAACAGCTAGCATCAAATCTAAAGCTGAATCCACATTAAGCAAATTCTGCTTGACCTGTGATTAACTGTGTGAGTTTGATTCTGTGGGAGGAGAAGGAAGATGTCTGTATCAATGAGTATGTTTATCATCATTGTAAGAGGAGAGAATACATTTGTTAATTAATATAACATCAGTAGTGACTCTGGCTTGGTCCGTATGCAACTGGATGAAGCAGTAATGTATCCAATGGAAGATATATTATTTGCTGCCTAATATTATTAATTTGCTGCAAAAAAGAAACCACAGCATCTATTCTAGAATCTCTCTTCTTAATGCACCTGAGATTGCATCCATCAGCTGCAGTCTAAAGTTGTTCAAGTTTCACTATTTGAGATTTGGGGTTGAGGCCCTGACTTGTCCTTTAAAAAGCGGGGCGGAGGGAAGCATGGGGAGATCCGAGAGGCAGGAGCATACATTAATAAGTATCTGAGGTCAGTGTATAAATGTGGCAAGGCTAGAATTAAGACTAAATAATAATTAAATTATCAATACAATTAATACAATTATTCATTATTCTCTCATATATTAAGTTAAATTAAATTAATTTTTTTTCTTCCACCATATTAAAAATTACAGTTTGGCAGCAACTAACTGTATTCACACAATATATTTAACCAGGTCAGTTAAAGATTTACTCAGTACATTTGCACAACATAAGAAGCTTGGTCAGCTGTAACTTTCATTATATTTTTGTGGCTCAGCATGTTATATGAATCTAACTTGTTTGGTTACTCTTATGTGCATTGTGTGAATCCAGATAATGGGTAAATTTAGCAACAAGGTTAAGTAGGTTGTGTGAAGGCAGCTTTAGATACTACCAATTCTGCTCCTGATCATTCCTCTGCTTCTCATCGATTCTTCATTTTTCCATTTTCCAATTTGTTCCACAGTCTCATAAATACAACTGAAAGCCAACCAAGCAATCCACATCAATGTAGATGTATAAGGAAGGGAAACATGTAGTCTGAGATGGGTTCTGGGAACCTTTATCAAATCCCAACTTCCTTGGCTTGTTTATCCCATTCTAGAGGCTTTAAGAAGGCCCCCAAGTGTCACCCATAATCCCAGAGCAAATCCAGAGAATAAACATCCCCTCCCTTCCTGCTTAGCCTTGACCCAATGATTATTTTGGGCCTCTTGCAAAAATCGAGACAGCAGTTTAAAACAAACTAAATTTTTCACAGTCCAACCCTAGACTTAAGTATGTAAAAAAGGACTTGGATTTTTGGACTTTTGAAGCACTGCTCTATCTCAAGTATATCAAGCTATTAGCACTAAGGAATATATTTTCATGAAAAGATCAGGCCTGATCTCCATTTGCAAAGGCATTTTTTGTACATCTCTCATGTATACTTATCCCCACTCTGACCTTGTATAACTGAAGCTTGTAAGCAATTCAGATTCATGCAATATTGCTGGATTACACATTTGTAGCTTTCCATATGACAGCCCAAACTTTCTTAATTAACTTTTGTGCCAGAAAAATCTTTCTCCTAGTTTATCATAATGGCCTTCTCCTTTTACTCTGTTGGCATATGTGCATTTATTTACATGCTGTTTGCCTACCATAATCGTTTTTAAGAGAGCATTTGGACTCATTTGACAGCAACTACAGATTTATCATTTTTAGTAGTTTCTTTATTATTGACTGATTTTATGGATGTATTTTATGATTTTATTAATGCTTTATCTCACCTGTTGTAAGCTACCTAGAACCAGAAGGGTAGATGGAATATAGATAGATAAATGAAACAAATAGATAGTATATTACCTTGCCTCCCCAAACTCATGGTACCATGTCAAATTAATGAATGAGAAAAGAGCAGAATAGTGTAGCAAAACAAATAAACGAACAAAAACCAACCCTTTAAATTTTTATTCCTAAGAATCTATTCTTGTAATGTTGCTTTTTAAAATGGAAATGTTTCTCTGCGTCAGAGTGGTACACTCCCGCTTGACAAATACAAAGTCCGTTGTCATTTAAATTTACTGAGATATATTTTTACATCATGGAATACTGGAATATAAACATGATTCAAATTTAGTTCAAAAACCACAACTCCACAAACATTTTGGAAAAATGCTCTGATTTTACCCCAGAAGCTGCATACATTGTTGTTCTGCCAACATGCGCAACAATACTTCCAAAATCCAGCACCCTACTGTGTCGGCTGATTATTTCAAATCACTTTAAGGTCACTTTCATTTGTAGTCATAACTTGAGAATGAATGTGATTATGACAAAGAAGTTAAGCGTTCTGCTGTATTGCACAAAGATGATTGCACATCCCAGAAATTATTGCAGAAAACATATTCAACTGCCATTGGTAATGGAACAGTTTAGTAGAAGATCAGCAGTAGTCCTCTTTTATTACACATGTAGCCTGCATCGGGGACCAGTCATGCAGAGGTCTAGCATGGATGATTTATTCCTCTCAAGAAAAAAAAAAAAGTGGGGGGAGAGGCAGGATAAAGAATGAATGAATGAATGAATGAATGAATGAATGAATGAATGAATGAATTCCAAATCATGCTCCTATATGACTCAGTGGTTATGCTCTTTTAACACTGTCTTAGCAGAAAGTATAAAATAGATATTGCTTAAGTTTAATGTAGCATTCTGATCTGCAATTGATACATATATCTTGATGTTCACATCATTTCATTGTAAAGAGATATCAGTTTATGGCTTCAGCATGCAAGGAGCCTCAAACAGCATATGTACAATGGGTGTTCCATGAAGCAACTCAACATACTCTAATATAATACAACCAGCCAGGAATCAGCAGAGAAGTTCTTGCCACAATAGATCAAAAAAGCTAACTGTTCATATTCACATAACATGTATAATTAATAATCCGGGAATATTGCTGTGGTAGGATATTGTACTTGTTAATTGTTGAATTTACATCTCACTATTTAATGACTGCAGCATCAAAATTCTGTCTTGACTGATCAAGTATTACAGACAGAAATCACAGAACCTTATATAGTGGTTTTCTCATATTGTATCTCAAGTCACTGAATGTCAAATAATCAGGAATGAAACAATTTGTAGTGAGCCATACAATAGTTTTTATTGTATTCAAGTTTTATAAACAGCCAATATTTTTTTACTACAACTGGAGTGTGTTAATTTTCTCTGTAAGGAGATAAGTAGAACTGTTCGTGAAATGAGAAAAACTGAAAAACTGTAGCACAATAATCTGAGAACACAGCTATCAGGACAAAGTCCTCATTTGGTGTTACCTTGAGGAGAAGTGGGTATTTGCAAATCCTCTGTATTGGAGTTAGAAGATAACCTTCAAGTGGAATGTCTGTAGTCTTTCTACCTCCCAAAAGCATGCAGCTCTGTAACCAGAAAAGGACAGGAATATTACATTTGGCTCAAAACATCTCAAGACATCATTGTAATGAATGACATTTGGTAAAGTTCACTATCTGTGGTGTCTCATATGAATGATGGACTGAGAAAATATATAAAAATCCTTTCAATGCATAGAAAAAAATGAAGGAACATTGTATTTATTAAATGTATAATTTGTTTTTCTTTAATAGGACTCAAGTCAACATGTTCAGGGTTCCCAGAAAATCTCCCAACCAAGAACTGCCCAAGGCTGATGCTTCATATACCTTTACATTGCAGTTCCAAACATTCTTCACTGAAAAATTCCAAAGTCAAAATTGTACAACATAAAAATGTCTGGACAGCCATGTGTGTTTTACCCAAATAGCTATTCCATTCACAGATAAAATGTACAGCTAAGTTGGAATGCATATTTTTAGGACTGAAACATTCTATCATTTGGGTTCTTACCCAACATGAAGGCATCTGCATACAATTTATCCATATATTTGCATTCCCAATCACTGCCATCACTGCAGGCATTAAGCAACCCAGAACGTGTGTCCTTGTAAATGCTAAGCCATTTACTAAACATTGCATTTATTCTCACACAGGCTTAACTTCCAGCAAATATTGCTATCACTGCAGACAATAACCAACCTTCATCTCCATATACATGCAAAACAAATTCCATAATTCTAGCCTATTCACTTTATCTTATATTTTCAAACTCTGCAGTATCATGACTCCTTAAAATGATAAGTGTAGATTTTACAGCGCTTCTCATTAGTGTAACACTACACACTTCTGTAGCACATGGGCATCTGTAGCAGGAGAAGTGGGGGAGGGAGAATGATGTAATTTCCATGATGGCATCATCATGCAAATGCTGCAAGCTACGTATTTACGTCAGACATTGGGGTGCAAATACATAACAGTGGCATTTATGTGATGACATTTTCACACGTCATTATTCTAGCATCACTATAATTTGTGGCATATGTTGCTGCTATGGCATTTTACAATATAATTCTTTTTATTCTGTTCCAAGCAACTTCTACATCTTCCTTCCTTATGTCTGCTTTCCATCCAAGGTTTTTAGGGACCATATATGGCACCTGTACTTCAGACTGCACACCTCTGAGCTAAGTCTTCTTTAAATTAGGACAAGGAGGCATCCAAGGGAAACAATGCATCCACAAATCCCTAGGTAATATTGTAGAACCCCAAACTAACTAAAAATAAGATTTTAAAATTAGAAAATCTTGCAAGTCTTTGCCATTCTTACATGCAAACCTGCAAGGCTTGAGAAAACTTGTGAGAACTCAGGGTTGAGAGTGCCAAGATCTCATAATATTTGACAATTGATTTATTTATTTTATTTAGTCATTTAAAAAATGGGCAGAGAGATCATTCCAAGGTAGAATCTCTACTTCAGGTAACAAGAACACACTACTCAGACAGATGTCTATTCTTTAATTATTCTCATTTTATTGTGATATTATCATGCTGGGCATAACTTGTATGGAGAGATAGGAAGATGGAAGACACAATAAGAAGGAGATATATGGAACTACCAATTCACAAAATCAGACTTCCACATCGATACCGTATATAACTATTTCAAATGCCTTTCAAGGTCAAGCAAAGAACCACCACAGCCCCAAAAGCTTCTCAGCCTATGAAACGATGAACAAGGCTATAGACTTTTTTTCCTGGCACTCCAATTAATAAGTACAGGAAATGTACTGGAATAACAGCTATACTCAGATTTCCTCTCAATGATTCAAACACATAAATTAATACGCCAGAGACAAAAGGAGTGAAAGCTTTAATAGAGCATAAGTAAGCAAGCTTGTGCCCACTGTCAACAATGCAACACAGATACAAACAAACAAAAATAGGTCTGCACTAGGAGACATAAATGCTTTTATGGTAACAGTAAGGGGGCCCCTAGATGAGACACTGATCAGTTCCAATGCAGACTGAAAAGGTCCTCAGTTTCCATATTTTGCATCTCCTTATAGGTATGGGAAAAACTTATCTCAGACCACAGCAGGCAACTCTGGCAACTCTCCTTCATCCCCTTTTCACCTCTCAGATGGACTGATACAATGAGCTCTACAAAGGGCTGTCTTTGAAGACTACCAGAAGCTAAAATTGGTCCAAAATTCAGCAGTGGAGGTTGTGAGAGTCTGGACAGGGAAAAACAGCTGAGCCTGAACCCAAGCAAGATGGATGTTTAGGAAGATAATTATGTCCTGGGTTTTTTATGGAACATTTGGGGACTGAAGAGCTGAATTGATGAATATACCTTACATGAATGATGGATACTGGTAATAAATAATTGTTATATATTTTCCTATGGTCTGATTGTGTGTGTGTGTGTGTTTTATGTGCATGTTAATATGTATGTTTCGATAATATTTTATGTACAGTTTTTAAGTATGTTATGCTTAATAAGCATAGAAGCACAATAAGAAACAGCTCAATAAAGCAATCTATTCAGTGTATGCATCCTGAGTAGAGATGCTGAAGGTCCCCCCGACATGACAGTAGAGGAGGGGGCCAGGAAACAACATTTATCCATTTTTGCCCAATCCCCATGGAACAGTTTATCCCCAGAGATCTGGATGGTGCAATCCCTGATGGCTTTCAGGAAAATAATTAAAATAGAATTGGTCTATAGAGCTTTTAATTGCTAATCCTACTGGGACTGAATGTCAAGGGAATGGTATTATTTACAGTTTCTTTTAATGGAAAATTTCATAGTTTTATAGATATGTATAAAATGCCAGGAGTTCATGTTGAGTTGTTGACATATAAATATTGCAATAAATTTAAATAAACCATAGAGAACTGTTGCTACTAAGTAGCAATAATACTGATGGGCTAATGGTCTAATTCTCTACAGGGCAATTTCTTATGTTGTAGGGAAGATAAGTTAAAATACAATGAAAGAACAGCCCACAGGAAGCTTGGGTTGCTTGTTTGAACATCAGCATATTGTGTGAACACAACCAATTCTTGTTTGTTGAATAAATCATAGGTACACTAATCATGGCTTAGCATAATGTGTAAAACCAGACAGTATGTGAATCCACTCATTGTGATTTGCAAAAGACAGTTTATAATTTGTATGGTGCATGAAGCCATTATCAATAACCACAGAGATTCTGAGTATTGATTTATTTGAACCGTTACCTAGCTCAGAATATATTTAAAATGCATTGAGCTGAATAAATTATACTTTAATGTACAATACAAGTTCATTCTTTTACTGTTTAATTTTAAACCTGGCACAGTAAGCCAGGATCATTGTCAAGTCACAAAAATGGACATTTAGGTTCTTTCAACCAGCAAGCTACCAGACTCAGTTTTGACAATGTCAGAAATCCGTCAGTGAGACAAGATGGTACAGTTGTTTTACTGTCAGGTTTGTTGTTACTCTTACATAGCGAAGGGAACTATGTCAGGGAACCTATGGCTCTCCAGATTTGCTGAATTACAACTCCCATCAGCTCCTATTAGCATGGGTAATGATGAGAAAACTTGGGTATTATAAATGAACATCCGGAGGACCACAGGTTCTTATGCTATATTAAACTCAGCAGTTTATCAACAGATATTTGCCCATATTCTGTGCTATGCACACAAGTACAGCAGAGCGGGGGCCAGATGCAAAGAAACATTTTGGCAGCTCTACTGTTCAAATATGGAAAGCACTTTTTTTTCAAAAAAGGAAGTGAAAAGAGGGTGGTGAAAAACCACTAGTATGGGAAGCAAAACACAGAGAAAATCTTAAAAGGTGCAAAGCAAATAATCAGTATATGAAAGGCCAATACATTTTTGTTATTTTTTTCCCCCTCAAACACAAAGGAACCAGTTTTTCCTGTATCCATCCTTTGTAACCAACCTTTCTTCAAGAGAACTCCAGATCACATAAATAGGATACCCATCCCAGGCCCCAGCCTCACCCACTTCTGCTACCCTTCTATGAGGTTAGATCTGGTTCCCCCAACTTGGTCCCCTCTAAATATACTCTACTGTGCTACAATGTTCTAGAATGTATAGCCAGCATGTTGTATACTACAATGCTGGCCCCATTCCAGTTTGTTATTTTTCAATGACTGTGGGTGGAATGGGAAGCAAATTAGTTGTGATTCTGAATAAAATGGCCATGAATGGAGAAGGACTTCAGAATCCTTCCCCATTGGCTTTTATTACAGTCTGGTGTGTTCATGACTGTACTTTCATTTTGAGTACTAGAGTGGGCTTGTCCCTAACAAAGAAGTTTGTCCAAACAGTTTATGATACCATTGATTCTTACCAATAGGAATGCTCTCACAGGAGGGATCTTGTTCAGTTCCATCAAAAGCCTGAGTGCTTTTTCATGGTTGCTGCAATACTCCTCATATACGATGAACTTGTCTTTCTGTGAGAATAGGAAAAGATATTTATGTTAATTAAAGTATTCCACTGATTATCATTGGTATTTTATCTCAAATCAAGGTAAGTTAAAGTTTCCATCAAAGCAGCATAAATACATCATGGAATGTATACTGCATCACAAACACCATGTTTCCTGCTATACTTGAATTTCATATTGTCTGATTTCACACATCATGTTAAATCAGAAGCGGATAACTTGTGGCCCCAAAGCAGCAAACAGCCTTCAAGTTCCTGTTGTGATTCTCCTGGAGTTCCATCTCATTATAAGTCACCAGCCTGGTTACCTGCCATTTATAGGTAGGGAGCACCCAATATGTATTTCTTTGTTTAGAAAATACATATGTCCACCTATCTTATACATAATAATCCTAGCTGACTTGCAACAACAGACCATAGAAATAAAATATAAATATAAACCCACAAAACCCCACAAAAAACATATTTCAGTATAAGCCCTAAAATAAGCTTAATGCACGCTTAAGCAACAACAACAATTTAAAAAATGGAGGGAAAAATAATTTCCTGCCCCTATGTTAATTCATAATATGGCCACAGTTAACAAAATCATAACTTAGCATGATGTGTGAATCCAGCCATGCTAAGCTGAAACCGACCAACATCACTAGCTGAGAATGGTATATGAACACAGCCAAGGTATACAATTAAGAAAAAACAGTGGTTTATACTCAAGAAGACTTTTGAATGGCTTTCAGTGAATAACTTTTTAATCAAGTTACCCAGAAGATAAGAGTCAGAATGTATGCGTATGTACTTTAAAGGAGAGGGAGAGAGGGAGCGGGAGCGGGAGCGGGAGAGGGAGAGGGAG